GCCCCCGTACTGCTGTTTGATAGTTAATGCGGCCCTCGGGCTGAAAAGTTTGGAGACCCCTGGTGTATACGATAAAAAATCCACGATTTTTACATTACGAAATCTCGTGATTTTTTTTTGACGGGATAAAATTAGCCATCATATTTTTCTATTTCAGGACTACACACCATAAGTTTAATTTTCTGGAATTGCAGAACGGACCATCAGTAGAACAAAGTTCGAGGATGTTGAAGAAATGTTTGCCTATTTCGACACTTCTTTGGGAAAGGGCTCTCTGAAAATCTATATGTTTCCGAAGACCTTATATTCAGAGACATTCCAGCGTCATTACAAAAGTTGAACCTGCCTACTTGACACAGATGTTAGGCTGGGTTGGACCCAGTGGCGCAGCTAGGGTTAGTGCCGCAGGGGGCGGACCGCCAGCCCCGCCCCTCCCCCCTTACGCCTCTGGTTGGACCTGTTTGTCTTATGACAGGTTATGTAACTTGAGACGCAACCTCCCCGACCAGATCAGTCGCCATGTTTACAAATTTTGGAGGTTTGTTGTTCAGCGGTATAAACAGTAGAAAATAAACGTGTATCGTGGGAGATTTATGAACGGGCGATGCCCACGTGATGCGTCACGTGACCACTCTCGCGTTCGCCTTTGGAAGTACGGCGGTACAACATAGTGGAATGTGCTGACGTGTCGAGCTAGAATGTCAACCATCTCTGTTTTATGACTGGTGTGATGGGGTGGGAGGGGGTGGGACTGATGGTCATTGTGAGGGTGGGGGATTAGACTGATGGTCATTGTGAGGGTGGGGGATTAGACTGATGGTCAGTGTGAGTGTGGGGTATTTGACTGATGGTCATTGTGAGGGTGGGGGATTGGACCGATAGTCATTGTGAGGGTGGGGGATTGGACTGATGGTCATTGTGTGTGTGTGTGGGGGAAGGACTGGAAGGGAGTTTGGGCTGGTGGTATGTGGGATGATATATGGAGATGGGACTGATGGGCAGTGTGAAGTTGACAGATTGGACTGATGGTCAGAGTGTGTGGGTGGAAGGGAGATGGGACTGATGGTCAGAGTGGGCTGTTGGGTGAATGGAAGGAAGATTTGGCTGGTGGTCAGTATGTGGGGGTAATAGTAGATGGGACTGATGGTCAGCGTTGTGGGTAAATAGGATATGTGACTGTCAGTGTGTGGGGGTGATAGGATATGGGACTCATGGTCTGTTTGTGTGGGGTGGTGGAAGATCGGACTGATGGTCAGTGTGTGATGGTGATAGGAGACGGAACTGGTGGGCATTGTGTGATAGGAGATCGGACTGATGGTCAGTGTGTGATGGTGATAGGAGACTGGACTGGTAGGCATTGTGTGATAGGAGATCGGACTGATGGTCAGTGTGTGATGGTGATAGGAGACGGAACTGGTGGGCATTGTGTGATAGGAGATCGGACTGATGGTCAGTGTGTGATGGTGATAGGAGACTGGACTGGTGGGCATTGTGTGATAGGAGATCGGACTGATGGTCAGTGTGTGATGGTGATAGGAGACGGCACTGGTGAGCATTGTGTGATAGGAGATCGGACTGATGGTCAGTGTGTGATGGTGATAGGAGACGGGACTGGTGGGCATTGTGTGATAGGAGATCGGACTGATGGTCAGTGTGTGATGGTGATAGGAGACGGGACTGGTGGGCATTGTGTGATAGGAGATCGGACTGATGGTCAGTGTGTGATGGTGATAGGAGACGGGACTGGTGGGCATTGTGTGATGGTGATAGGAGACTGGACTGGTGGGCATTGTGTGATGGTGATAGGAGACGGGACTGGGGATCACTGTGTGTGAGTGGTGGGGGGGGGGAGGTGATAGATACCCTGATGATAGAAATAATCAAAGGAAGTGATGACAATGGTATAAGCGTATATACGGTGCTATATTGTCATAAACTTATTGAGCTATCTCTGTATTTGACTACAATATCAATTTGCTGAGTTTAGGTGGCAAGAAAATAAAAACAAAATGCTGAAAGGATGTTTTCTTTCGTTTTTGTTTTTTTAATTCCCAGAAGATTAGACAGCCAGCTTACCCGCTGCATTAGTTATCTCCCTTTGGCGTCTGCAGGCCGCATCTGCAACTGGTCATGGCTAGTTTTTGTGGGGGCGTGATGCGTGATTCAGAGAATTAGTTGTAATGAACGTGTGAGGGAGTGTGTGGGTGTGGAGGTTGTGGAGGGTGAGGGTTTGAAGTACTGACTTGGTAGCCGGGCTTCTAACTGTACATGTAAAATAGCGCTCCCTTGTTTAAGCCTTCTAAAGAATAGGCATCAGAAGCCGATGTTTTTGTTTAATGTATAAAATGGCTTCTTACTAAAAAAAAAAAACAAAAAAAAAAAAACGTAGGCCTGAAGATAGATATCAACATGGAGTGGTGTATGACGNTGAGGGAGTGTGTGGGTGTGGAGGTTGTGGAGGGTGAGGGTTTGAAGTACTGACTTGGTAGCCGGGCTTCTAACTGTACATGTAAAATAGCGCTCCCTTGTTTAAGCCTTATAAAGAATAGGCATCAGAAGCCGATGTTTTTGTTTAATGTATAGAATGGCTTCTTACTAAAAAAAAAAAACAAAAAAAAAAAACGTAGGCCTGAAGATAGATATCAACATGGAGTGGTGTATGACGTCACCAGTGTTAGATGAAATTATTCATTTACTTCAAGGGTCGGCAACCTTTCCTGGACGGAGAGATATTTTATTATTTGAATTTGGTAAGGACAAATTCAAGGAGCCACGAGACTGGGGGCGAATTAAGGAAGCGAATATTCACATGTAGAGGAAAATATTTTACTGCTGAAACTGCAAGATAGTGAATGTGCACATGTAGAAGAAAATATTTTACTACTGAAACTACAAGATAGTGAATGTGCACATGTAGAAGAAAATATTTTACTACTGAAACTACAAGATTAGTGAATGTGCACATGTAGAAGAAAATATTTTACTACTGAAACTACAAGATTAGTGAATGTGCACATTTAGAAGAAATTATTTTACTGCTGAAACTACAAGATGGTGAATGTGCACAATAGAAATGATTTTCTGATTTCGGCCGCAACCGAAACTAGGCCAATAGTTAAAAATGACTTTCGGCAGCAACCAAAAGTTTAAAGAGACTTTCGGCCTAAACCTAAAGCTTAACGAGACTTTCGGTTGAAGCCGAAGCCGAAACTGAAATATTTAGATATTTTGAAATTCTTTCACATACATATATACACAATCATACAGTCATTTCACAAAAACATGCACAGCACAGTAACATTCAATGGCTCTGTCTCTGAGTCATTTCCAGTCAGCAGCGGAGTAAAACAGGGTTGTGTACTGGCACCAACGCTGTTCTCCATTTTCTTCTGGATCCTCCTTCAGTTTGCCTTCAGGGACTGTGAAGATGAGTGTACGTCCATACCAGATCTGATGGTAAGCTTTTCAATATCGCCTCCCTTCGTGCAAAAACCAAAGTAAACAAGGTGCTGATTCGTGAAGTGCTGTTCGCTGACGACGCCGCCTTAACATCTCACACAGAAGAAGGTCTGCAGGGGCTGGTTAATCACCTATCACACGCTTGTAAAGAGTTTGGACTTTCGATTAGTCTACAGAAAACACATGTAATGATTCAAGAAGCACCGTCCCCTCTAATCATATCTGATCTATTGAGGGTCATAATCTTTCGGTTGTTGAGCATTTCACATACCTTGGATCCAATATTTCTAGTTCTCTCTCCCTCGATGAAGAGATAAATATCAGGCTCGCAAAAGCAGAAGCAACTATGGCTTAACTGAATAAGCGGGTGTGGAATAATCTCAATCTAACTGATGAAACAAAAATAAGTGTCTACCAGGCGTATGTGCTTAGTACGCTCCTATATGGTGGCGAAGTGTGGATCACAAATACCAGTCAGGAGCGGAAACTCAACAGCTTTCACCAAAGATGTCTGTGTCGCATTTTACGCATTCGATGGCAGGACAAGGTGACTAACACGGAGGTCTTGGAACGTGCACAAATGTTTAGCATATTCTCCTTTCTTAGCAAGAGGCGCATTCGCTGGTTAGGCCACGTAAGGATAATGGAGGAAGGCCGTATCCCAAAGATGGTGCTGTATGGAGAGTTGGCTGAATGGAAAAGACGTATTGGACGGCTACGCCTGAGATTTATGGACGTTTGCAAATTGAGCCTGAGGGGAGCCAATATTGAAAACAACGAATGGGAGCTCATTGCCGAACAATGTTCCAGCTGGCGAACAGCAATGTATGAAGGAGTAAAAAAGGCAGAAGATACGTGAAACGAGGCCCTAGCAAGTTTGAGACCCCTATATTATAATAATATGTTTATTTATTAATATTCCCGATGATCTCATTTTTATAAAAAGAATGCAAATATAAATAATTTCCCTCATCATTTTATATACAGTGCTGCACCATACATGCTGACCTTTAATCAATAGGCCTACAGCATGGGCGCCCGCAGAAAACTTTCTAGGGGGGGGGGGCAAAAAAATCGATTAACTTTCCAGGGGGGAGGGGGCAAAAAAATTTTAGTAATGTTTTAATGTAGTTTTAATTTACTGTAGCGTATTTGTATGGTGAACGAACGGACAGGACATCAGCTTAGTTACTTTCTCTTTATTTTCTCTTTACTTAAATACATTTTTTGTCTAAAATTGTTTGATCCAACCAATCCAGGGGGGGAAAGTGCCCCACCTTGCCCCTACCTGCGGGCGACCATGCCCTGAACGATATTGCTCCCTCGGTCAACATACAGATCAGCCTTTTACATGGGTTTGTATTTGTAAACTATTATGGTATTTATCTTCATAGAGCCTCCATTTTGATACACCGTGGAATAACCATTTAATTGGAAGTATGATATAAATAATGGAGACAATGAGAGGATAGTTGGTTGTTGTTGGTTGTTGTTGGTTGTCGTTGGTTGTTGTTGGTTGTTTGTTTTGTTGTTTTTAATACCTGCATGAAAGTGTCTTGCACAGAAACAGGCTGGCCGTTGTTGATGTTCCACAAGATGATGCGGCCATCGTTGCAACCACCCCCACTGGCCAGATATGAACTGTTCCACGGACACCATGCAAGGGCTGAGAGAATAGTTCACAAAGTGACACACAATTATTACTATTGGCTTTGCTTGCAAGCACTTACGGTGGAATGAGTAGAAGATAAATAAATGGCTTATGGCGTCGTCGCATTCATTTCAGAACGTTGTCAATCCTTGTATTTACTAATCGTTTTGGGATTTTAACATTCGATGACGTCCATTGGCCGTTATGTGGCAATCATGTAGGGTGCTTGGCCTCCAAACATGCAGCTTGAATGAATGCGGAACACCGTAAGTTACATTAATTGAAACACACAAATATATAGAAATACGTATAACACATACGTTTAATTTTTAACAGCCCAACCTGTCGGGCAAAGATTCTCCAAACAAGGACAGAACATAATGAAAAGGAGAACTAATGGCAAACCTTTGATGGAAGATCTATGTGCAACGATCTCCCTTATGATGGAGTAAGTCCTGGAGCACCACAGTCTGATGACTCCATCTTCACACCCGCATGCCAGTAAAGTCTCGTCTGGAGACAGCCTGAGACTCGTGACCTGTAATGTACACCCATTGGCCCAAATAAGTGACCTAAGAATTCCTAAACGTAGGCACGCAATGATTGTTTTGGGTCAGTGATGGCCAAATCGGGGGGCCCGACACGTTAAATATTGTGGCCCCCGGATGCATCGTAAAATAAAAATTTTCTTCATTCAAGTTGCGCTTCTTTTCACTTTTTTAAAATAAACGCTTATTTTAAATTAATGATTTATAGTATTTAAATAATAATTACATCTCAATTAAAAATATACTCCTAAAATGTCTGTATGTCTGTATGTGTCACGTTAAAACTCGGTGTTTGGGTATTTGGAATATCTACCTGCGGTAGTTTCCCCTTGGTGATCGTCACGGCTTGGGTATAGGAAATGGGGAACACTTATCTACCTAGGGTGGCCAAGAACACCCCTCCCCCAAACCGGTGATCGTAACAGCTTGGGAATAGGAATTCAGGAGATCAAGCATGATCAATTCGCATGTAGAAAAGAGAAGTGGAGACTTAGCTGAGGGAAACAAGTGTCCATGAAGAAAATCATGTCAACGGACTGTAATCTAGTCCACGCCGTCAACTGTTAACCTCTCCGGATCTGTCAACCCGCCTCTCTTTGACAACTGGCAAAAACCCCACGCTGCTCTGACGACCCGCCTCACTTTGACAACTGACACAACCACACCACTCCCGACAACAGCCTACTTACTGCAGACGCACGTCTAGACCTTAGCAGACCTAGACCCTGGGGTGGCGCCCGCGTGTCGATGACATAGATGTTTCTGTCCCTAGACCCACAGTAGAGCACAGACCCGAACCACTCCAGACAGCCAATGTGGCTACTGCACATTTGATACGACTGACCGTCCCCTGAGTCCACATTAGATAATTCAACGAATCTGGCCAGTCCCTGAAACAAACCCAAAAAAATTTACAACGAATCTACTCAATCAAATAATATAATATCTCATTCTTCAGTCAGCAAAGATGTTATCGTACATAAAAGCCTGCAGATAAGTTAATAAGCAAATCCAGCAGTAAAAAAAACATCGAGTTGGTGATGGTATCAGATGTTATGGTAAAATATTATTCAACTTTTCGCATTCAAACCTCGTTCAGAAAGCACGAGAGCAACAAGTCTTGAACCAGTCAAAATCGTGTTTTACACTCTTCAATTACTAGACATTTTTGAATGATCGAACCACGCAGGAGAGTTATCACCACTCATCGCTGAAGAAGTATCTCAAAAATACTTCTAAATGTGAAAATATATATATATATATATATAATACTCTTTAAATGATGTCTTTTTGAAAACCGGGAGAGCCTGTAAACGAGAGCTTTTCTCTGTGGCAAAAGAAAGCTTTGGTTGTCTCAGTAAAGTATATATTTCTGTAGCAAAAAGATTTTGTGTTTCTCCGTAGAGTATATTATATTTGGGAGTTACACGAATCTTCAGCAGACCTTACACATTGTGGCACTCTTACCTCCAATGTAGAAATGGCAAGAAGAAAATGGCTGCCTGGCCGGACGATGTAGGTTTATTGTTGGGAGACGTGTATTGTTTCGGGAGAAGTTTTCTACTAGCATTAAAAATGCCTTCTGTGAAATATGTCCAGGGAGGCTTGCTCCTGCTTTCGGTCTCATGACTTTACCGCATGTGCCCACTGACGTCATTGAGCCCGCACGCCGAATTGTGCGGTTGGTTTTGCAGTTTTCCGAAGGGATCTTTTAACAAGACGAGACATCTCTCTGTACCCTAAATGGTGCTGTCCCAATAAACGTGTCTGAAAAACTGCAGCGTGGCTGTTGGGCCTCTTACTTACCTGAGTATCTCCTATGGCAAGTACGCGACCGTCCTTGTTCCATTTCACGCTGGAAGGTCTGTGCTGGTTTTCCCCTGACGAAATCTTGGCGTTTTCAATGTTGCGCCCGCTGCTGAGCCCCAGGTTACACAAGTACGTGCGACTGCCCAATGCCAAGGCCAGGTAATCTTTGCTGCCCCAATCCATCACGCTGGTCATGCAAAAACAGAGACAATGAAAGTTACTATTATTTTATTTATTTTTTTTGTATCAGGCCCACGGGATTGGAAGATCATAGATATTTTTTTTTTTAAATCAACTTTCTCAATTAGCTGTGATGAAAGATCAAAGAATTCAAAGAATAATTATGATAGCTCCAACAGTAGCAAAGTCAATTTTTAACTCCCTGTTATTAGAAGGTGAAGCACTTTTTAAGGTCGCATAACTGCTATCAAAATAGGACGCAATGCTAGATGCTAACTTTTAAACAAGGAACTAGAAGATACCTGCTGTAGAAGTCATCACGTATGTATGGAATAGACAAAACCCTTTCAGGATCGTGCGGAAATTCTCGACTTGGTTTGCCTCTCGAAAATGGGCTAAACGTGGATGTGTGCGTGACGTTCCATGGATACCTATCCAGGCACGGGCCACTCGGTGATTCGCTGTGGGGCATAGGAATAAAAGACACATTTTGTGACACTGCAAAAAAGTTTGTTTAGAGATTATAAAATGTGTGGTTCATGACACAGCCACTGTGTTTATGGAATAGACTACTGGTCTGTAGCCCAAACTCAAGATAAAGTCGTAGGGCTTATAAAACTATTTTTTTTTAAAAATACCTTAATGAAAATGAGAAAATTCGTTGTGGGGTCTGTTCCATGGCCCGCCCCAATTGTTGTCTGTAAGTGAATGCAGAGGCACCTGGGCTGAACTGCTCCTGAACTGGGAATTTCGAGACGAATGCGGGGCTGGCTGCAGATGATGGATCAGTGGATGGAGAAGTAGATGGAGAGGTGGAAGGTGAGCTGGATGCAGTGCTGAATGCTGGACTGTTCATCGATTTTACTGGCGACGTGTCCATAAGCGACTGACAGAGGACATCGCAGTTCAGTTTTCGTCGAATAGGAATAAATCTGTTGTTATTTATGAGGAGGCGTGTGAGTTCATGAAATGAACATTTGGGGAGAGAGAAAGATTACGGGACAGTGGCAGACAACGGGAAAGTGGCAGACAACGGGAAAGTGGCAAGACAACGGGAAAGTGGCAAGACAACGGGAAAGTGGCAAGACAACGGGAAAGTGGCAGACAACGGGAAAGTGGCAGACAACGGGAAAGTGGCAGACAACGGGAAAGTGGCAGACAACGGGAAAGTGGCAGACAACGGGAAAGTGGCAGACAACGGGAAAGTGGCAGACAAAGGGAAAGTGGCAGACAACGGGAAAGTGGCAGACAACGGGAAAGTGGCAGACAACGGGAAAGTGGCAGACAACGGGAAAGTGGCAGACAACGGGAAAGTGGCAGACAACGGGAAAGTGGGAGACAACGGGAATTTGGCAGAATGTTAATCAGTATTTCAGAAATTAAGAAAGCATCTTTTGTGTTTCTTAGAGAAAATGAGTAAGAAATGAGAGAGAGAGAGAGAGAGAGAGAGAAGGATGGGGATGAGTGTAGAGAGAGAGAGCGAGAAGTGAGGAGAGAAAGGGGGAGAGAGTGAAGAGAGAAGAGTGAGGTGAGAATGAGGAGGGAGAGGAGAGGGAGAGGAGAGAGGGAGAGAGAATATGGAAGGGAGAGAATACAACTATGACCCCCCCACACACACACACACACGGCTAACCCATGCGTACCAAAGTGGATAGATTTAATCAGGCGAGGCCCCCCCCCCCTTTCCATGACTTACCTATCACAAAGTTGTGGTCGTCTCGACTTTGGCTTAAGTAAAGCGCAGGACAGCATTTGAGGGCTGGTCATCAACTCCTCGTTCTCACCCATCTCAACCAAAGGCCAAAGCCTGGATTCGCTTTATTACAACGTGAAATTATTTACGGATGTGAAGAATAAATAATATTTAACAGTGCAGAGCTCGTTCATATCTTTTTATAACTTGCCAATGATGGACTGTATTCGACCTACCATCTACAACTAAACTACCCAATCATGTGCCACAGATCTACAGCCCAGACAACAAACCATGCCCAATTAATCATGTACCACAGATCTAAAACGATCACAATAATAAAGAAACTATTTTTCTTAAAGAAACCATTTGTTAAATTAGGCCCATTTTATCTTTAAATATCTCAAAATAAAACATAATCTGAAATCGGTCCCTGTAGCCATCCCCAGAACTTATCGGCCGGTCCGTCGAACTCTGTGCAAACGCTGTTGGCGCTCTCTTAACGAAATATAAGCGCAGATGGTCGGGACAGTAAAACAGGAAAGAGAAACAAAAATAAATAAAAAAATATGAACTTAAACTGACGCCATACAAGAGCTGATGGATAAACCCTGAAGAGTGTGCTCAAATATTTGATCATGAAGTTTGTATTATTTTGGGTTCAAATATTTGATCTAGCTTGACAGATCGCATCTCCATTTGCCAGATTAATTAGGCCTAACCGTCCGTGGCCCACCTGTCGGCCGAATTCATAGCATGTGCAGTTAAAACCGTTCCGAATACAACGCCATGATCCTACACGTGCCCTATCCGTTATATCTTGTAGACCTGTTGAAAGGGCACATTTTAACACACACACACACAAATGCTCATCTGTTTTGCGCGAGGCTTCCGAAACTTTAATCGGGCTCGGTGAGCCTCTGCGTATCTCAAACGAGATCTGGGAACCGATGGGCCAAAAAAAAAAAAGTTTTCTAAAAGATGCTTAAGGACAATTTGAGTTTTTTCTTTAAACGTCCACAAAATGTGAAATGATATTCTTTAGTAGAACTATCCATGGAAACAGATGGAAACCAATCATGATAGTGGGGATCAATGGCACGTGCCCGCGGTTTTGGGAGAATAGAGCAGAGGAACAGATCCATAGCTCATTTCTTTGGTAACAAATTGACACCCCTCCCCCCAACCAAAGAATGGGTTAGCGGATATCCCCTTCCCCCCCCCCCCCCCCCCCCCCCCTCCAAAGAATGGGTTAGCCGATATTCCTCCAAATAATTGTATAGCTGATATTCCCCCAAAGAATGGCTTAGCTGATATCCCCACAAAACGCCACACACGCAGCCGAGAGGCGCGAACCAGTGCGCACCAACATATTTGAATGATTGGCCAGACGTCTGCAATGAATTCAATAAAAGATGGATCTATGCTATTTTAGGCAATCTATGTCTCTGACGGAGAATTCAACCTTTTAAACACAAGAGTCACCAACAATGGTACAATGGTGAGTCATCTTCCCTCTTGGTAATTTAATTTTGATGATGAAAGCTCGTTTATCAAAGTACAACAAAAAGTGAACCAGGTTTTCAAATTCCCACTAAAACTATGATGCATTTATATCGCCCAATATGAACGTGGTGGCTCACGCGAGCTACCCAAAAGTTTTAATCCAAAGAGCTTGCTCTAGAGGTGTTAACCACTACCCTAGGGCCCAAGTATGGGAAAATGTGCGTGATTTTAGATCGCAAGGTCGCAAGTGGTATGAATAGTAACCCCGTATGATAAGGCGATACATTCTTTCAACGATTCATCAGCTGCTGTTTGGATATAATTTTCATTTTTAAATAATTAAGCTCTGGGTCAACAGATTTCATTGGAGATAAGTATAGACTTTTCAGGAGGCATTGGTAAAAGTATATTGCTACCTTCATTTAGTTTTATTTTCGAGAAGGACTGCAATAAAAATTTTGAGATTGAAATGTCCATCGGCACCGTCTTTGTCGTTTCTGGTGTAACATAGTGCCAAACCCTACGTGTCGTCTTGGTCCGTGTGTTGGCTTAATCTGTGCGTTGGCTTAATCTGTGCGTTGGCTTAATCTGTGCGTTGGCTTAATCTGTGCGTTGGCTTAATCTGTGCGTTGGCTTAATCTGTGCGTTGGCTTAATCTGTGCGTTGGCTTAATCTGTGCGTTGGCTTAAACTGTGCGTTGGCTTAAACTGTGCGTTGGCTTAAACTGTGCGTTGGCTTAATCTGTGCGTTGGCTTAATCTGTGCGTTGGCTTAATCTGTGTGTTGGCTTAATCTGTGCGTTGGCTTAATCTGTGTGTTGGCTTAATCTGTGTGTTGGCTTAATCTGTGTCATCTTACTCAGTGTCAGCTTACTCTGTCATCTTACTATGTGTCAGCTTACTGTCATCTTACTCGGTGTCAGCTTACTGTCATCTTACTCGGTGTCAGCTTAATCTGTCATCTTACTCGGTGTCAGCTTAATCTGTCATCTTACTCGGTGTCAGCTTAATCTGCCATCTTACTCGGTGTCAGCTTACTCTGTCATCTTACTCGGTGTCAGCTTAATCTGCCATCTTACTCGGTGTCAGCTTACTCTGTCATCTTACTGGGTGTCAGCTTACATTGTCATCTTACTGGGTGTCAGCTTACATTGTCATCTTACTCGGTGTCAGCTTACACTGTCATCTTACTTGGTGTCAGCTTACATTGTCATCTTACTCGGTGTCAGCTTACACTGCCATCTTACTCGGTGTCAGCTTACACTGCCATCTTACTCGGTGTCAGCTTACTCTGTCATCTTACTCGGTGCTAGCTTACACTGTCATCTTACTCGGTGTTAGCTTACTCTGTCAGTCGTCATGTCGTCTATTTCTGTATGCATAAAACAAGTATATACATAAAACAAGTATATACATAAAACGTAAGCCGTACAAAGTGCAGGCAGTGGGGCGAACATGGCAACACCAAAAAATAACGCCCGGTTGGGGGGGGGGGCGCAACCTTCACCCCACTCTTCCCTACGCGGTACTCCTGGCGACATTATGAACCTAAGACTTCACGATCAAATAGCACTCGTGCTTCCAATGATGCCAATCACTGGTGGGTCCAGGGGTGGATTAGCAACAATGGTATAGTGTAACAATGAGCCAGGATTGCCGAGGCGAGATGTATGGGGTGATAATCATTGGCCCGGGACTTTCTTGTGGTAACAAAGCGGTGTCATTGGATGGATTAATGTTTTCTCAATGAAGTCCAATCCCGTTTCGCGATCCCTCAATGTATTCTTGGATTCAGGCGATCTAACCGACCGGTCAGTTCATTTCACCTAAAGGTCAGTCAATCTAACCCAGCGGTCATTTAATTCTACCTAAAGGTCAATTTTACTTTTACCTAAAGTTCTGTGAATCTCACCTAAATTTCAATTAATCTCACCATAAGTTCAGTCAATCTCACCAAAAAATCGATCAGATCAAACAGCATTAGTTTTGTCGTCAAGAAAAAACAGTTATTACGTCACCACATAGAGCTTGCATTTCCAAGTCTTCAAAACCACTTCCATTGACTCAAACTAAATCATTTTAGCTGGTTCATATTCAAAATATAGATGAAGGCGTACAATTCTAAATAAGAAACGACTAACATATTAGATCAGTGGTTCTCAATCTTCCTATTTCCGCGACCCTTTAATCCAGTTCCGCATATTGCGGTGACCCCCCAACCATAAAATTATTTTCTTTGCTACTGCATAAATATGTGTTTTCCTTTGGTCTTAGCGACCCCTCTGTAAGGATCGTTCGATCCCCAAAAGCGGTCGCGACCCACAGTTGAGAAACGCTGATTAAGACGTTATCAATTTCAGATTCAGAGATGTACGTTCATTTTAAAATAGCACAGAACGAGTTACTCACCTTGTTTGTCCAAAATGAAGAATTCCTCTCGAGTACTTCGTGATGTGGTAATATTACAAACAAAGGACTCGAGTTTAAGCCTAAATTATAAACTAGCTTCCATTTGTTTTGTTTTCTTCATGTATCCGCACGCAAAGTGTAGCCACTACGACGTATCAATGTCCCTCTAAACTACACACGTCTACAACATCAAGGTTTTGCCGCGACTTTCATCCAGCAAATATCAACGATTGTTTACCTCTGGACCACTCACGTGATTCACAACGCTCGGGTGTCTTTGAAGGACGATACGCACGGCTGATTAGAGAAGTCGGGGATCGAGACTTGACTTCTGGTCTAATTTTGTTGACCAAAAAAAAAATTATTTTATTATTTTTTTTTTAAATCGAGTGTGGTTTTAATATTTAAAAAAAAAATGTATATCTATACTTTGATTGTATTAATTTGAAATGCTTAAATTTAGAGAAAAATAAAATTATTATTATTTTTTTTTTAAAGTTGTCCTTCCAAGGACGCAAAGGTTACGAGCTACTGTGTTAAAATTAGTGTGTAACTCTAAGCTGATTCGGTGTGAGCATTGCTCACGGAGTAATGCTCACGGAGTTCCATGCGCTTTGATTGGCGAGCGCGTCATATAGATTGACCTTTGCACCCAAGAGTAAGGTTTCATGTTTCTGACCCAGACATTGTCACAGGGGAGATGATTCCGAACAATTACACAACTTCCGCTAAGGGAGCTTTCAGAACTTACTAGCGGAAGAGACTTCAACTCTTACTCCATAGAGAGTAGAGCACTGTCATGGCTTCCTGCTGCATAGGTTTAAGAGGTCAGGCGATGCCCCCCCCCCCTTTTTCCTCATCCCACATAAAATAATTAAATCGCAAAATTGATGTAAGGAAAAAAAATCGACAGAACTCAAAAGTGACCTTAATTATTTATTAGGACTTAGAGAAAGAGTCACACACTATGAAGACATTGTAATTATGTTCTTGTTTGTGATGACATTGCTCATTATTCTTGCAATCCATCTACGTCTCCTGGCCATGAATGAAAGACTGATCCCCACCCCCTCAACCACACTCACACACTTTTTCGGCCGTGACTCACAGACTGACCACCCTAGCCAAAAAATCCTGCCAACACCCTAGGAAACTGCCATTTCTCGACGTAATGGGGAGGGGGGGCACGCCCATCAACTTTCAGAAGCAGGGGCTCGGTATATCCCGCCTTGGGTAAGGCACTTTCGTGCACAGTGTAGATTCAAATATGATGTACGTGATATACAAATACACTACATCATAGATTTCAGTTGAGACACAAGAGTTTAAAGTTATACAATGGTTTTTTTTTAAACATCTCCTTGCTATGTAAAAGCAGCCTCTGGTTTTTTAATCGTCTCCTTATTTTTGAATTGGCCAACTTCTTCCATTGATTTTCAGGGAAATTGTTTAGATAAATAAATTTTGTAAAAATGTATCTTTCATTAGGAATTCCACACTGACCTGGTGGCGTTGACTAATATCAACATTACTAGACCTCGACTGAGTTTAAATTTACCAACGCAATTTTGAGCATCTTACTTAGCGGTGTTTGGGACCAATTGGAGGATTAATATTTTTTTAATGACCCTGAAACTGTTACTCAATACTGCGTACGCGACTCAACATCATACCACCCATTTAATAATATTGATATCGTTTAGAATTTGTCTTTAAACTGGAGCGCCAATATGTCGAGTTGCCATGGTTAATGAAGAATGCCCACATCTAGCCAGGCCTTGAAACTGATCCGACGCCACAACATCAGCAGCAGCCAACCAAGCACAGAGAGCTGTGAGCAGCCCGAGGACGACGATGTGACTACTACCTGCGGGCAGGTCGGTGGGGACCCGAAGTCACAGTCTCCGGGACAGCAATGGGTAGGTAGGTCTTTCGAGTGTTCAATCGGGATGGAAGGTTTTTCGAGTGTGCAATCGAGATGGAAGGTCTTTCGAGTGTTCAATCGAGATGGAAGGTCTTTCGAGTGTTCAATCGGCATGGAAGGTCTTTCGAGTGTTCAATCGAGATGGTAGGTCTTTCGAATGTTCAATCGAGATGATAGGTCTTTCGAGTGTTCAATCGAGATGGTAGGTCTTTCGAGTGTTCAATCGAGATGGTAGGTCTTTCGAGTGTTCAATCGGCATGGAAGGTCAATGGTGCATTCCTTTCTTGCAGGATGGAAGACCATTAGAGCGTTCAATCATTATAGTATTCAATTTAGGATGTAGGTCATTAGAGTGTTCCATCAGTTAAGTGTGTGATGACCATGTTCAGAGATGTGCTGAGTGTGTCTTTAATACCGTCAAGAACAAATTGAAATACGACCTGTGATCTAATGCGAGCTCATTGTAAAGATAGTGTTGGAGTCAGTGTGTGTTAATTTCGGAATTCCGATGTCGTAGTGCTAGTATGACCAGGGTCATGCTATTGGGGGGGGGGGGGCTGTTGAACGGACAAAGGTCCCAGGCGTCAAAATAAAGGGCTCAAAAATCTTCATTGTTTAAGCAATATATATATATATATATAAATATAT